GAGGTGGCTATGTTTTACACGAGATTTTCAGCCACGACACCCAAGCCTTCTCCTTTCTCGTTCGAATTTTTGACCGGCAAGAGCGGAATTAAATTCGGTTACGTTGGCATATTTCTTGGAACGTAACTTTACTGAAAGTCCATTATTCTAGCGTTAGCGCGTACCGAAAATAAAGTAGCTTGCTTAATGCTACCTAACGCTGTTTAATGTAACAAATTTCTAGAGTGTAATTTGCGTATTTGTTTGTTTGGCAGTTATGCAGTCGATTCTGCGGAGATTACTTTGTTTGTAATATGCATTACTCCTTATCATTACTTGTTTTACTTATGTTTGTGTTGATGAAGAGAGTTGTTCAGTAGTTTTATTTTGAGCGTTAAGACTGTTTGATGGTTGGTTGCTTGAACTTTTTTAACACTGCAACCGCCAGCTGTTTTACAGGTGTATAAAAGGTATGCCTCTAACTGTCATAGTACTTGAGTTAACTTAGGGGTATGAGCGATACGATTTCTTCTCAAGTCATAAATGTTCTTTTTGTCTTCGATTACGTCAAGTTTAATGACGATCTGAGCATCCCACATGATTATTGTTTGTATTGAATGTTCTTTAGATAGAAGAAGCTGAATTAGAAAATCTGAAGAGGATAGAAGAACAAAATAAAGCTGCGCTGGAAACCCGCGGGGTATGTGTTTCTTGAATGCTAATTTTTACTTTCCTTGTGGTGAATTTCTACAGCTGAGAGCAAATGTATTGTATCGTTTTTAGCGAACTAAAGAATTATTCTGGCAGGCAGTCTCTAATAGGGCATCCCCGCGTTCACTTCTTATTTGATCGTACAACAACCAATGTTCAGGAAACTTTGACAATATAAACTCTAGCTAAGTACATTCGTTTGAGACACATTGGTACCCGTGAAGTCCTGACGTGAATTCTAAAATTGTCGGCTAATGAGGCAGAGATGTTTGTGGTTATCAGAAGTTTTAGTTTCGTTTAAGGCACTTTTGTCTAAGAGAATGACACTTGGTATAGAATACCACGTGGAAGGAATTTGGTGCCGCCTGTCGTTTTCCATAGAGAAGGTATAATTTGTAGAATTCAAGGAAACAAGGTAGATGTGCCAACTGATAAGTTAGCCATCCTCCTAGATTAACGAGTGATCTAAGTACTGTTGGATCTGTTTATCTGAAAGAGCCCTAGAACACCCCGATAATTTTAATGCTGCCGAATTGTCGGACATGACCGATTTCTAGTATTGTAGACGAGAAAACTTCGCTACGTAGAACCTCTAATTGAAATCATCATCAACCCGTTATAGTGTAACTTTTGCACCTCTGACTGTTTCGCACTTATTGGGCTCTCAACTGTGGTCTGAAGTTCAGTAAATATGAACTGGATGGGTTATTTTCGAATCTTTTTCTGTTCCTTTGGCCATTTTCCTTGAAACCAAACCTTTCCTCGAAAATGAAGACCTTTTAGGTAAAGAACATTTCACCCCTTCATCCATATTCGTTTTGGAATATGACTTCGCAAGAAACAGCAGATTTCTATCCACCTAGCTGTCCTGTCAAGTGTGGTCGCTTTCATCTTGTTGTACAGATCAGCTGCTATCGCTACGGACGGAAAGTGCTATTTTGCTGAGATGCTTGGTAGACGCGATTCTCGCGAAACTTTATATTTGCTGCGAGGGTAAGAAAAGTATAAAGGTGTAAGGATGAAAGAGTCCCCTTTTCCTAAACCACTGATTGAAGCAGACAGTAGATCGAGAGATTGGCAAGCAGATGAAAATTAAACAATTCTTTTTTGAGAATCGACGAGGGATCAGCCTTTATTGCTTTGTTGCTACCGTTGTATAAAAGCTCTTCAAGAACTGTCTTCCAGTTTTCCAGCTCCTTCAGGAACTGTCCTCAGTCCTTCTGGCCGTTGAGGGCCTATGAGTTTCTTGCTCATGTGAAATTTGCCTTTCTCTTATCCAGTGCTACTTCGGAAAAAGTGAAAAAAGTTTAAACGACTTATTCATCACCGTAGACAGCCTCACCCCTCCCCCGCTCGTTTGTGATTTAATCGGCGTCTGGCAACGTATTGCCAAACACACAGCAAGTAGCTCCTAGGGGTTCTGTAATGAATTATGTAAATACAAATCACCCCACCGTTATAGCCGGCTGCTTCACGATTATTTGAAGATGTAATTCGCCCTCATTTCGGGGCCGCCCATCGTCTTGTTTTTAGAAAGTTAGACAATAGACAACTAGCAATGCCAGTATTGGGTATTCTGCCAGACTGTTTTACTGTCAACGAAGAACTCTATCATTGTTGCCCATTTTGCGAATAGAATATTCTTCATCTTCCACTGCCACTTCTCCTTTCAGGTCGCGGAGGCAGACGCGTTAGACAGAACTTACAACGTTCCCCATCTTGTGCCAGAGTCTCAGCTTCGGCAGAAGACAGCTGGACTCTGGAACAGACTCCTTCTATATATTTGCACCAGCTGAATCTTGGCCGTCCCCTGGGCCTTCTGCCGGTCCGTTTCGCAAGAAAGAGTTGCTTAGCCTTCCTTTCTGGAGGCATTCGCAACACATGGCCAAACCATCGCAGCTGTCACTTCTCAATCTGGAGAAGCAGAAGCAATGCGCCATGGCTCTTGCGGATGTCAGTATTACGAAACATGTCGAGAAGCGTAAGACCAGCGACTCGTCGAAGAAAACCAATTTCAGCAGCTTGTACACGGGTACGAAGTTTTTCAGTGATGGTCCACGATTCATGACCGTAGATAACTATAGGGATAAAGACCGACTTGAATATCGAGAGCTTAGTTTTCAGACTGAGCTCTGCTTTAGTCACAATGAGTTGGGCTAGTTCACGCAGAACTCCACTGGCTACTCCATTCACCAGTCTTATCCTCAAATTTTCCAGCACTAGTAAATACAGTTCTGAGGTATTTGATCTTCTCCACCTGTTCCACTGCCTTTCCGTTAATCTGGAGAGCAACAGGCAGGGCAAAGAGAAAGCACTAGACGTCTGGGTGTTCTGCCGTTCGGCTAGGTAAGTAGTAGTAGCTTCGCCTTCCTTTCTGGAGGCACTGGCAGCACATGCCCAAACCACCGCAACTGTGATTTTTCAATCTGAAGAAGCAGCGGCTCTACACCAAGGCTCTCGTGGATGTCAGTACTCGGGACCATGTCGAGACGTGAAAGCACAGCGACTAGTCTCAGCAGGTGTATTTCAGCCCCTTGTACCCAGGTTAGAAGCCTTGCATTTATGGTAAGGTAAGCATGGGGTTAAAGATCGACTTGAATACCGAGAGCTTAGTTTTCAAACTCAGCTCAGCCTTAGTCACAGTGGATCGGGTTGGTTCACCCAGAACGCCACTGGCTACTCCAATTCGCCGGTCGATCTCTTCTTCAAATTTTCCATCACTAGTAAATACGATTCCGAGATACCTGAACTTCAGCTGCTCCATTGCCTCTCTGTTAATCTGAAGAAAGCAGCTTGCAGGATAACGAGAAACACTGGGCTTTTCGTTTTAGCTGCGTTCACAAGCGTGCTGGTCACGTCGCACGCGGCTGTGAACCTATCTAGGGAGCACTGTAAATAAGTTTCAGAAGATGCCAATGAAACAAGTTTGTCTGCACACAGCAAACTTCTCGTCTTCACATCTCCTACACCGATACACTCATCGCCTTAACAGCTCCTGACTATTCTATCCATGTACAGCACAAACAGGATAGGGGACAGGATGCAGCGTTCACGGAGACCAGTGAGAACGTTGAATGGCTTCGACTTAACGCCATTTACTCTGACGCTGCACCTGTTATCAGAATACAGTGATTGGATGGCCCTTAGCAGCTGATCATCATTCCCGTATGCTCGAAGGCATGACCACAGACTGTTGGGTGGGATCCTGTCATAATCTTTTTCTGGGTCAACAAAACGCATGCACCCCGGACTGGCGTACTCCCGCGGTTTCCCAACAATCGTGTCCTAGGGCCGTTTTTTCTATTCACGCCATTCCACTTTTCGGCGTCTATTCCGATATGTGCCATAGAATCGCCCATGATTTTCAGGGACTCTGTATTCGGCACTTCGGGCAGAGCACACTGCAATTCCTGAAGGAAGGTCTCATATTCTGCCTCCAATTTGGGCGCATAGACCTGTACCAAGGTCAGCGCTTTAGCCGGTTTAGCTTCAGTTTTAGTATTACCACCCATCT